GGAGCAGGTCCTAGAGAAGTGACTGGGGATTTCCATTTACATAGGACGGCTTCGAGTTTTGAGAAGATCAAGGAAAATGGCCTACATTTTCCTAGGCCACTATAATCTCTTCCACGACCCTAGACTATTTTCCATCTGAGCTTTGGACGGCCTAGAAAACCAAGACCTAGGTTTTTTCCTAGGCCATCATGACCTTTGACTGTTCTGCATAAAAAAAAACAAAACAAAATTAATCAATTACGTATTATTTTTTCACCTGACGCCACCCTTCCCGACCACCCCTCCTCCGTTTTTTTTTCTTCAAAAACTGATCTTTTTGAATTTTTTCTCCCCTCCAGCTCCACCTGTTTATTTACTTTTTCCCACAGTTTTTATTCCTTTTTCGCCAACATATATTTTTCTTTAAAAGTCATTGTTTCTTTCCTTTGGGTTTTGTCCAAAAATTGCTACATTTTCTGAAATTTGAGCCTAGGAATCAAAAGATTGATTGAGTGTGTGTTCGTAAACTGGTTACTTATTCTGATCTAATTTGTTTTGGAAATGTGACAGGCGTCATGGAAGTTTTGTTGTTGTTTAGATTTAGCACGTTTCAAAAATAGAGAACAATCAGAAACGTTTGAGAAACATTTGACAAATGAAAGATTAGTCAGACCAAATTTTGGAGAAGATTGAGTTTTATGGTAACATTTTTCCCAAGTTTGGCTCGCTAGGGTTCCAAGTTCCTCAAATTGGCAGTGCTAATATTAGAAACCCATTTGGTTCTGAGTTGAATTCATTGAATTTTTTTCGACGCCTTCCTATCAAATCTTAATCTGAAGTTCCAACATCTCCGTAAATTGACAGCTAACTTATGAATCTGAATATACTCTCCATCCCATTTTCGATTATTCTATTCCATTTTTTTGCACACCTTCTGACTCTGAAAATTCACTATGAATTCCCACAAACCTTTGAAAGTAGGGAGGTAGGTCACAAGGTGTTTCAGTTCCAAGAGTTATTTTTGTCAAAATTAAAAAAAAATCGAAAAAATCGTGTGAGTCCATGTGAGCTCTATTGGAAACTAATATTTGGTTTTCTTTTTCATTTTTGAGATTGGAAAATTAGAATTGAGAAAAAATTGTTTTGGAAAGAGTGGTTGTCTTTGGGTGAGGAAACTTAGATTGGATATGAGTGGAGGTGAAGGATGTAGAAAACTTGGAAAACATAACTTTTAGAGCTTTTCCGTCAAGCTAGAAGTCAATTTTGCGCTTTCTTTATGGCCGTTTTGAAGTCCGACCTGGGGCTCAGCTTCTTTAGTTTTGGTCAGATTTGGTTTTTAACAAATGTGACTTTTTGACGGTTTTTGACTTTTTGTAAATCGAATGAAAATTTTATCAGGAGAAAGTCAGTCCGGTATACTTTTCGAATTTTCCTGCAGTTTCCCATAATTTGTTTCATGCTCTTTGTGAAACCAATTCTCTTCTCCTATCTTTTCCATCTTCTACTACTACTACTATTCAAAAAATCGTCTGAGAAAACTAAATGAGCACATTCCATAAAAATAAAATAGTGTGAGAATAATACGAAAGTGTTCTATAAAAGACGTCACAAGAAAATGAAGAGGGGGACATCGAAGTAAATGGAATGAAGGTGGGAACACATAAAAATTCTATACGACTGGAGACGACAACAGGATAATATTTCCTTTTTGAGTCTTAGTTCTTCATTATGCTGTCCTAGAACATCCGATCGGGGCAGCTTGTGAAACTCTTTCAGCAACCATATTTCTCTCTCTCTCTCTCTCTCTCTCTCTCTCTCTCTCTCTTTCTCTCTCCCTTCCTAATTTCCTCTATTTTCCAGAAATGAACATCCCCACATCCCCCCTTATAACGGGTATAACCAACGACTCCTCCTGCCCATTCAGAGCAAGTGCCGATCAAGTAATCCTCCAAACTTCATGGATCCTCAGAATCCATATCATCTACTGCACACTTCTCTCATTTGGATGTTTTATTGGAGTGGTCTGTTGTGCCCGGTACATGAGGAAGCATCCGATCTTCAATGAGTCAACCACACTACTGCTCTATTTGTCATTGGTGTTCGCAGTGATACATGATGTCGCACATGTTTGTAATCAGGTTAGACATGCTCTACTATTAGAGGTTTTTCAATTATTTAAGAAAGTCTTACTAACTAAGGCTCTCAAAATCAACGCTGGGGGCAGGTAGTTAGGTGTGCATTTGGCTGAAATCCATTAAGCCGTAAGCCCTAAGACTGCCCTGTCCTGTCGATGAAAAATCAGAGTCCTTAGCCTGCCATTGCCTCGATTTTTCAGCTTTTCTTACCTTATTATTACCGTCTGCTGTAACCCAGCTGGCATGATAGCTGGAAAAATGTCATGTACTACTGAAAATCAGGCAATTTTGTGCTCTAGTGATTGTTAGTAAGCTACTTTTTCCTAGCATCAACTGTTTTTGAGATAAGATCATTATTAGTCAGAATAGCCTGAAGCTTCTGCTCTGAAGTAGACATTTTATTCAACGGTGTGTAACTTTTGAGCGGTGAAATGTATTGAAAAACCGCCAACTACTGATTTAAAGAAAATTTATTTTTACACATTTTGTTAGTTGACAACTTTTTTCTATTTCATTTGGCTCAAAGGTTATGGCCTCTGAAAGTAGGGCTTTCACATTTTTCAGTACAAAATGAACTGACTTTTCACTTATAACCGGTACTCTGTAAAATCTCCACTAATTTTTCCCTTCTCTCACCGTAATCTCTGTTTCCAGTGGGCCGTAATGTACCGTAGCTTCTACTACGCCGACGATCCGTGCAATCTGTTCTTCGACTCCGATGACTGTGTCATTCTGGGAAGAACACTAATTTTCGGAATTAGCGGCATGATCTATATTCATTCTGCTCTTTCTATTGATGGGTATGCTCCATAAACTTGAAAGCATATTCAGAATTCTTCAATTTTCAGAAGCTTAGCAACATTTTTCCCGGATATTTACTACAAACACAAGCATCTTCCTGGAGTTATTCTCGCCATTTTAATGGTAAATATTCGAGTTTTTTGCACCAGCGTGTAATTCATGATTTTCCAGGTCGCCTTCAACTTCCTCGTTCAGTTCCTGATTCTCCCCAACTCGGACACAGGAAAGGACTATCTTCCCAGTTGTCAATTCTTCAAAAAGCAGGACGCCGGACGGGCGAATTTCTTTTTGATGAGCAGTTTGGTGTTGACTTTTGTCAATTTGTTTATCAACCTGATATTACTAGTGGTGAACAAAAGGCATTCAAAGAGGTTAGTTTTTGAATGGTACGAGTGAGTATGCTAACCCTTTTCTTATTATGTGCTTGCTAGCTTTTTGAGTTGATTGGAAATGTGTAAGAATGCAAATAGTCATAGTTTTGGAGGTAATAGGTTTAGGAATTTTCAAAAAATATGTGCAAAATTCAGTAATTAGAAAAAACTGACATCTCGATATTTTACATTTTTAAATAAAATTCACTAAAAGCTACTAGTTTTTCGACTATCCAGGTCACAAAAAGTCCGGTGAATTCATTTTTTTGGTCCAATTTTTGGAAGCTACAGTAGTATCTACAATCGTGATGAGACTCATGCACGCACATTTTACCCTTTGACACAATGTTTCCGCTTGCTACGCTATCCCGCATTTCTCTTCGCTATACTAACCTTATGGTCCTTTACCAACTCTGTTTCTTTATTTTCGCTCTCTCTCTACCAATCACGCTGCTTTAACACACCCACCAAAACGAACCTAATATATAGGGCGAACTATATGGCTGATGACTCAACCGCTTTTCTCGATCAGTACCTAACTGATTACAATGCCCAATCGTACAGGACCAGATACGACGTCCAGTTTCAATATCAGAGAAGTGAGGCGATAATGACGTCGAAGTCGATTTCGGTGCTCGTGATTGCTCAGATTACTGCCCTGATGATTTATGCGGGTGGAAGTTGGGGATTCCGGCAGATGAGGGAGCAGATTCCGGTTTCGTTGTATAATAATTTGATCGTTTGGCTTTATGTGAGTTTTCCAAAGTTTTGGGGGATCCTAGATAGTGTCCAACAGGTACCGAAGGGAATTTCCTTCAAAGTCAACATTGTGGGCTTAAAAAAAGATCAAAATGGCTATTTCAGTAAGCTCTAAACGCCTGGAGTAGAACTTCAGCCAGATAAACCTAGACTGCACAGGATCGGCTCGAGCGTCCGGGTCCAAAAAATACGGCCCAGACACCTAGAATTCACTGAATTCTACATTTTCAAAAGATTGCGAGCCCACGATTTTGTCTTGAAGATTTTTGCATGTCTAGGTCGGCCATAGAGCCATTTGCACTCGGGAAATCTCCTCAGAATGCTCCTGTGCTCTTCTGAAATTCCTATAATTCCAGGCCATCTCCTACGCCACCGTCAGCCTTCCCCTGCTCATCATTTTCTGCATCAAATACGTCCGTCGTTCCCGCCAACGGACCATTCATCACATCACAAATCACAAGGAGAGTCAGGATCATCGGATGAATGAGCTCAAAGCTCTATGGAGTTAATTTTGCTGATTTTTTTTTGATAGCATAAGAAAAATAAAACTTTGAATACGGGAACAAAAATGTATTAATTTCATTCAAGTTGACCACATTTACCAAGCTTCCCTCTCGTCAAGGTGTATTGATTGGGGGTCATGTCGAACTGAAAAATGTCTTTGGTATCTAACAAAATAGCAGATTCTCCCTAGACTCACCGTTTTGGCTTCAAAATTGAGATCCGGATAGTATGCATACTTCTGGTTGACATTATGGATTTTGAAGTAGAGGGCGTGGTTTTTGAAGTGCGCACCGGTTACTGTCCACTGGAAAATGCATTATGTTAGCTTTGAAAAGCCGGTTAGTGCGTAAAAACCATTCCAAACACAAAACAAAAAGGAAAAAAAAAAGAAAATCGACCCAGGTGGAATCGAACCCGGGACCTCTTGGTTACAAGGCAAAAGTGTAACCAGGTTAACCACACGACCAACTGAAAGGAGGAGGCAGCTTCCCCTACACTAAAGCGCAGCCCTCTAAACTCAGCTGACGCACTTCAGTCGACATTGGTGACCAGCCGCCTTTCGTTGGGGCGGACATCTTTTTCAGCATTGCTATGTAGTCATCTGGAAATTTTCCCCTTTAATATAGTTGCTCCCCTGTAAGCCTCACCAAACTTCAGAACTTTCTTACAAGTATCCCAAGTGAATTCGTAGCTCATAAAACCGTGAAACGCTTCGAATTGTTGAAAATCGATTGATTGTTTTAGAAGATTCATCAAATGATTCGCCTCCAATGTTGCATCTTCTGATGCCACGTGGCAAATAAGGGAGAAGGTGGAGAGGATGAAGAGAAGCGATGGGAGCTGCATGGTTTAGAGACTGAGGAATGGGATTTTTGGGAAAAATGGTTTGGAAATTGTAAAAAAATGCATGGTGCTAGGCTAAGGGTGTCACGTCGAGAACGAAAATAATTTTCCAAAAAACATTTTTTTTTTCATTTTTGGCTCTATGCAGCTCATTCAGACTCTGTGCAGTAAATTTAGGCTCTATGCAACTGTTTTCCCGTTCAGACACAGTACAACCCCCTACGAACTTCGTGGGAAACGTTCGATCCTAATTGAACAGGTACTACATTTTTTGTCCCTCACCTGAACTACAACATACTTTCCCAGACCACACCAAACAAAATCATTCATTCGCATTTCAAAAATCACCCCTTTGTCACATTGCTCTCTTCTCAGGACACTTGAATTAAATAAATGCTAACTTGTTTTTTTTTCTCGTTTCGTTTATGAGGTATGTGCAGCAAAAATCTTTTCTAACAATGAGGAATTTTTTCCTCCAGAGAAAATCGAATCATCACTGGTGGTGTTGATTTTACTCGGGGGAGAGACACGTCAGAATAGGAATCGTGATTTTGAGTTTTTTTTTTTGAGTAGCTCTTTTTTTTGGGAGACTTTGGCTACGGATCCTTGTTCTGCGGACCCAAAATTTTCGAACTTCTTATTAAAATTCGGAACCCAAGGTTTTAGATTTCAAGAGGTTTTTGAGGCCCGCGCATCACTCACTTATCAATACTCACCTCATTTTTTTTACCATGTCCATTGGGACTCCTCATATGTACGTCAATATAAAAACTCTAATGAATAAAACCAAAACAAAAAGAGAGCAATGGAATCAATTTTTCTGTTCAGACTAGCTTATCATCACTTGGTTTTTAGTTTTTGATCAGAAAAATTGAACGTTTATGTCTATATAAACCTATCATTTATTCTGACTTCAGTTCCGTTCAAATCATAGAATTCAAAACTTCGCTAAGTCAGTTTTTCTGAGTAGGCTGAGTAATTTTCCTAAAAAAAATATTTCTCATTCATAAAAAAACCATAGCATTTAGTGTTGTCGAAAAGTCACTCTTCGGTTTTCTGTAGATTTCAAAATCGGCATTTTTCACAGTGTTATTTCACGTTCATCGCATTTCTGGAGCTCGCTATAGCTTAAAATCTAACTGAAAATTGAAAGATTTTCATAAAAATTGATCAACTACAAAGTTGTTGAGCTGATAATTTGCAACAACTTTTTAATTCACTGCTTTTTTGATAGAAACTGTGGTTAGCAAGTTATGAAGCGTCTAAGCTGTGGTACATGCACAGACCAACATTCGCGGGAAAAATAATCAAATTTACAAAAACTATTTGATTTTGCAAAAAAAGATAGCATGGTATTTCAGAGACTCCGGGAATATTGTCTTCTCTTTCAATGTCTGGTCCTAAACATAAGTCCTTTATCTCTTTCAAAAACAATTTTCTTTAGAGACAAACGAACCTCCATAAGACGTTTCCCGAAAGTTATATCATCGACACCATTTCGATTTTTTTACACGTTCTTACTATTCATTTTGTCCGTAGATCCACATTCCAAATTCACCTTCTAATCAAGTTCTATTCACCTTTCCTTTTATCACCTTCCTTTTGTTATTCAATTCCCCCTTCCATTCCATTTCAGGCTGGTTCCAACTCTCAAAAATCATTCAACTTCTTTTGCCCTCTATGTCTATTTTGACAATTCATTCCTCGTTTTATTTTCCCCGTTTTCAGAATTTCCCAACCTCCAAAATGAGCACCAACAATTCCAGTTGTGCTTCCCTTGACACTATTATCCGACTAGAAAGTTTCAATCTTATATTCTCTCAACTCGTGGATCTTCTAGCCTCATTCATCACTTTCTTCGCCACATTTTTCGCTGTTCGAGTAGTTCTTACCCAGTCAATTTTCAAGTTATCCACTAAAATTTTACTATTTCAAAATTTATTTTATGCAAATCTACATCAAATTTCTTATGGGATAGAAGCCATTGGCCTGTTGTATCGCAGCTTTTTTATGATTGGCCTGTTGTATCGCAGCTTTTTTATGATGGATCGACCATGTAATTTATTGCAGTCCGATGCTCATTGTGCACCATATTTAGAGGTAAGACCATGATAATTTTTTTCAAAATCAGAATTACAGGCTCATAAATCTTGCAATTCTCTGCGAAGTGGCCCGAAAATCATTCAACAACCACACTTTTGAAAGGAGTTATGCCCCTTTGAAGTTGGAGGTGAGACGGAAGAGAAAGAGACAGTCGTTTTCTCTGGGGTCTCTCACTCTCTCACCTCCACCTTTGAAGGAGCATAACTCGCTTCAAAATCGAGGTTTTTTGGACGGTTTGTGGATCTTTTTGTCGAGAATTTCAAGACCTTTCGATAAATATAAATTTCGATCATAAAAAAAATTCAAAAAGTATAAAAATTTTGAAATACCGAAATAATCTGAATTGCACACCATCTGGAAGTCCTTGAAGTTCTCTATAAATCTTTTCAAAACCCTGTTAGAAGCTCGATTTTGGAGCGAGTTATGTGCCTTTAAAGTTGGAGGTGAGACGGCAGAGAAGGAGACATTCGTTTTCTCTGGCGTCTCTCACTCTCTCACCTCCGACTATAAAGGCGCATAGCTCGCTTCAAAATGGAGCTCGTGAACTGATTTTTTGACTAGTTTGTAGAGAATTTCAAGCGCTTTTCATTGGTATCAACGAGTTCGTTATGTCCGAAAAAATAGAATCACCGTCAGACCAAACACTAACTTATTTCCAGGTCCTAATGATAGGAATCAGTGGAATGATCTACGGTCAAACAGGTCTTCTTATCGAACGTGCCTTCGCCACATTTTCCACATATTATGAGCTTAAAAAGAGTCTAATCATCGGATCCACCATCTCTTTCATCGTATTCATATGTAGTATATCCACTGGCCGCCTACTTTTATGGGATGATCCATTGAATGGTTATGTGACTGGATGTTTCTCATTTCCAAAGAATAGTGCAACACGATCCAATGTGTATTTTATTGTTTGCACCGTTTTGACACTCTTCAATTTGATTATTTCGATTTGGATAATGCAATATAATAAACGTTGTGAATATGAGTAAGTTGAGGGAGGGGGGGGGGGTGTCTGGGGGTAAAGAGTTGAGAAATCAAAGGTGAAACTAGTTAGTGTTTGAGTTGAGGGCGGGTCCCTAGAGTGTTACAGATGTTACCGTAGGGGTAACCATAGTTGAAAAATTTGGGCTGCACGGGCTCGGCCATGTTGTCCGAGCTCGTACCCCTTGTTCTGAACATTCTAGCCGGTCCCAGTACAGTCCAGGTTGTTCAAATAGAGATAGGGCTGTGAGCCGAAAAATTTCACTTTGAAAAAAGTTATCGCAGGTCTGCCAGACCAATTCCATGATCAAATCCACCATCTGTAAATATGAAGAGTTTCAATTTCCAGAACCCGTTTCAAAGTAGGAGCTCGATTCCAAAAACGTGAAGTCATTGAGTCAACTGGTGCTATTTGTTTCCTGACCCTCTCCCAATTCATCCTCATGTTCTTCTACTCGTTTGGAATATTCCTACTTAAAACTATTCGAGAAATGATCACGGCGCAAACTTTTTATTTTTGGATCGTATGGTGTTATGTGAGTTTTTTCTGGGACTATCTTTCTATCAGAGAGATGGTTTTCAGACCATGCCAATAATTGCTCTCATGCTCCCACTGCTTCTGATCTACCTGATACGGAAAAGTCGACTGAAAAGAGCACTCAAAATAATAGGGATAACGAATAAGAAGCAGACCCAGGAGGATCATATTACTGAGATGAAATCAATGTGGACCTAATTTTTTTTTCGAGAAATTAATTGAATAAACTATTGTTTCTGAGTTCTTTAATTTTTTCGATAGAGCATTCTTTCTGACATTTCCGAATGTATCTACGTCGTCATTATGGTCTAACTTTTTCAATGTGTCTGAGGGCATCATCAATCGAGCGCATTTGGTGTGTCCTTCTTTTCTACATGTACCATCTGCTGACCTCATCACAATTGATTTTGTATGTGCACTGCACGGCAATAAACCTTTGTCAACCTCTTTTGCTCACTATTTTCTTCAAATTTCATGTTTTTTTTGTGCTTTTTGCTACAACATTCAATAATTCCAGGCTTCGTCATGAATCCACCAACGCTTTTTGTTATCACTGCTAGAAAAGTTGCAGAGTATATTCTGGAAGGTAGTTTTTTCAACGAACTTGAATAGAAAAAAAACGAGAGTTTCCAGGAAAATACAAAGGTGTGGACTATGAGTTATGTAACACTGGGAGCAATATAATTTTCGATATTGTCAAAGAGAAGAAACACAATTTGGAAACTGATGAACAGGAAGAGATTGCGGAGGAAATTTTACTGAAAATGGTGAAGCCGAGTAGAATGAATTTCGATAATAAACGCAGCTATAAAATGCGAGAATGGGATTTGGAAATGTTGAGAGAGCAGAATTTGGTGGAATTGAAAATGGGAGATATGAGAGAATTGAGGGGTTATGTGAAGGAATGGGATGATGAAACAATTAAAAGACTTCGAAAAATTCAACCAGTCACAGGTATGTTTACAGAGCTCACATCATCCTGTCCAGCCGTCTTC